CACTTACTCTTCAGCTTCATTCTGAACATCAACAACAGACAAAAATCTGGGCTCCATCGTTCATACGGTCATGTATTCTTGAGCCAAATGACAACAACTGAAGTTGCCTTTTAAATTAGATTCTGGCACTGCAACTTTAAGATTACACAGTAAAATTATAATGCTGTTCTTAACTGTGAATCAGCCTCACAATAACAACTTAGGTATCCTGCAGTGCGTGTTTGGCACAGTGATGACAATGCTGCCTGGGATCCTCAGATTCCATATTGGAGACTGGGGGTTTCAGTCCTGGCCCCACCAGAGGATAAAAAATGTAACTCTGCCTTTCAAAACAAAACAAAACCATGGCTTGCCAAACAAACCCAACCAGTGAATTGCAGGGTCCACATTTATAACCTATATTTAATCACAACAAAAGCAGAATGGTGACAGATATGCCTCGCTATTGATAGCTTTCTCCAATTAAGGTACCAAAAAAGATTTAGTAATTATTATGTTAATTTATCTTGAACAGAAGCTGGGAGAATGCAGTTTTTAAATTTATAACATAGTAACTTGCATAATCACATAAATCTAGATTAGAATAAAAAACGTGGGGACCTCTTCATGTCTTGATTAATCATAACATGGTTATATGTAATAAAAGGGGTCAACATTTAAATTCCTACAACTTGCTGGCAAAAAGTCCACATGAAGTTTGGCTGCATAACCATCTTCAGAATACAACACTACTTGTTGGTCTTGGTTGTAGATCAAGAGCTTGCAGTAGATTGAGAGCCAGCAAAAAAGACCTGTCTGCGTCCATTTTGGAAGTTGTCTATTCAATATCCCTTGTCTATTTCTTTTCAAAACACTGCCTTTATGTAGGGCTACTGTGCTTTAATTTGAGGTTAATGAAATGAAGAAGAAATTGTTAAGTTGAACTTAAGGAAAAGGTCCTTCTTAAGTGCAGGAAATAGTTCTGACTTGTTAGATGTTCTCTCTTGATCTGCCTGGGGAAAGAGTAGCAATGGCTGGAGTATCAGAAGTCACAGTGTCTCATGAGGTAGCCTTGAAGGTGGAAACTACGTATTAAGGTGATCTGGAAAAACAGAAGTGATCCTAATCCTCCTCATGGAACTGCATATCAACTCCCGATTGTCCCAGCTTTATCTAAGTGAGGTATAAATATCTATCGGATTTTATCCCAAGAGCACAACGAAATTGCTATTACATATAGTCAGACCTTATTTCTAACAGACTACATTCATCATTAGAATTTAGACATAGTCTAAAATTTAAACATACCTTAGAATTTGAATGAGAAACCTTTACAAAGAGTGAAGTAAAGCTGGAAGTAATTACGAAGACACCACTATAATTAGGACAGGGATGAGAAGTGGGAAGCCGGCTCCTTCAGATCATGTGCCTTTCTCAGGTGCTGTCAGCCTTGTTTCAAGCATTTTCTTACAAAGTCTATAAACTTGTCCTGCAATCAGCCACGTTCCCCTCCCTCTCTTCCCTAGTCCTGTCAGACGGTGAGGTTTTACTATCAGAGTTATTTCCATGGTGCTTTATTTAATGCAATGTTTACAAAATATGTCCAAGCACATCAGATACAGCTCCAGAGTCCATTAGGTTTTCTAATGTAAAGTACAAATTTTACTAATAATTTTTTCCAGTACAAATATATAAAGTTTGCCACTATGGAATGGGGATAGAGAAGAAGCTAATGTCATTGGACTCTCTTACTTAAGTGGAAAGACACTTGTAGGTCAGAAGGAGGACGAACAGGAAGAGTGACAGACCTTTGTGGAAATTCAGCACTGCAAAGGATGATGGAGCTTAAAGAGTACTGACTGTACCCGGCACAGTAGCCTAGCAGCAAAAAGTCCTCGCCTCATACACGCCCGGTTCTCCTATGGGCACTGGTTCTAATCCTGGTGGCCCCACTTCCCATCCAACTCCCTGTTTGTGGCCTGAAAAAGCAGTTGAAGACAACACAAAGCCTTGGGACGTTGCACCTGCATGGGAGACCAGGAAGAAGCTCCTGCTCCTGGCTTCAGATTGGCTCATCTCCGGCTGTTGTGGCTGCTTGAGTAGTGAATCAACAGACGGAAGATCTTTCTGTCTCTCCTCCTCTCTGCATATATGACTGTCCAATAAAAATAAATCTTTAAAAAAAAAGAGAGAGAATTAGCCAATAGTTTATAGTGGCTGAAGGCCATGGTTAGACCATAGCTATAAGTAACTTGCTACGTTAATACTGTTCATCAAGAAATCCCTAAATTTTTTATTCTAATATAAACTTACGCGATTGTGTTAATTACTAAGGCTATGCATTTGTCTCCTAATCCTAGAAGTAAATAAATTATCCTAACAGTGAAATACAGATACAAAAAATTAACTTTATGAATATTTATAAATATATGAGCTCTCAAACTGTATTTCCCAGGTACCTGGGGTATGTGAGGGAACAGAGCTCTTGGGACTGATGTTAGGCACAGAGCAAGTGAGGGTCATGCCCAGAATACAAACTCGCCAATATGAGCCTGCCTTTTGCTATTCTTCTTCTTCAGGCTCATGTTACAAATATATACACACATACAAACCAGAGGTCACTGAGTGGAGAACTTGATGTAAGTTTCGATCCAGACATTATGAAATATTTTTCTTCACAATAAATGTGTGAACTCGAAATCAGCATGTTTATATTCCTCAAGAAAATTTATTTTGACTAAGCCTCTGCAGAAAAAAATTAAAGCAGACTGCTTGAAATTTGGTAACCAGTAATTAAGAAATTCAGCAATAGAAATATTACCATATTGGAGAGAAAATGACACCAAACTAGTAAGGCTAAGCGTCATTTTGTGTCTCTTGTTGTAATGTACTGTCAGACAAAACAAAATTAGTTTTCTGATAAGTCATTACTTTTTAATTTATCCATTGATGTAAAAAATTTATATACTGATATAAGGTAAAATTTTGTAGAATTCAAGTTCATTTCTTTCCTCTTTTTTCCTACAATAATCTTATTATGCAAAGTGTTAATAGTGCATTAGCATAATATAGCATCACAGTAGTAAGAATGAAAATGTGTTATACTAGTGAAAGCTAAGAACCCACACCATATAAGCTGGCAAGAAATTCTAGCTATGATTTGTTAAGCAAAGCTGTAATTTTAATAGATAAAACTTGGCACATATCAAGTATTAAAAAGACCCATTCAAAATGAGAACTGTTTTGTCTTCAGATTGAAGACAACTAGCATTTCAGAACACAAAAGACTTATGTCTGCACACAGAGAAAGTATCAAAGCTAAAAGGTCGACAACGGTGCTACCTGAGGAAAGTTTGTCTGTAATAACTGGGAGCCAGTTAAGCCTTTAACCTGTTGAGCATATTTTCAAAGGTTACAGAGGCAATTATGAAAATTTAGGTTTCTGTGAAAAATTTCATCACATCACAGTATGAACCACACTAATGATGAGTTAGTAAGATCCCTGTCTAGGAAAAGCTGGCTGGCTGAACAAATAGCAAGGATAAGTAATTAGGATTCAGAAGGACAAGTTTCTAACACGAGACCTATCAAAACAACTATAGATGGCAGTTCAATGGAATGAAGACCATTTGTACCAGAGCCAGACAGCCAGACTTCAAAGCCTAACACTGTCACGTAACAGCTCTGTGACTTTTTAAGGTTCTTACGGTTCATTTCCATTACATTGAAAATATTCAACAGTAATAACTCACCCAGAGCTATTTTGAGTTAAATAAGATAATCCATGCGAGAGACTTAGTACAGTGTCTGGCACATTGCCACAGCTTGCTATCGCAAGTCCAGTTAGCTGGCCATTTGTCTTCCTAAGTGGAAAACACTATAGGGTTTGTTTTCTTAAATGGAAAACAGTAGCAAGTTTGGGATGGTTAATTTCTAATGCCCATCTAAAATTTTGCCTCAATCCAGGGTCAAAGAACACAAATTTAGACCTTTAGCTCTAGCCTGCCTAAGGATACTGCAAAGCTACACAACAGTCATTTTCTGTTACACTATTGAAATAGTTACTATATTTATCAAAACCAAAGTTATAATAAGCACACATAGGAACATTCATGATTTCTCCCATCACGTACACGAGGCTAATACAACAATTTCAGAATCACAAAACTTACATATATCTTCTACTATCACAGCATGTCATATATCCTATTTACTACATGATCCAAAAAAGGCAATATTATTTTGATTCTCTACAAAATTGGAAGGTCTAATAAAGTATCTCCACTAATAAATTTTACCTAAAAGTCAAAAATACAGGAAAAGGCTTTTTTTTTTTTGCAAGAATACCCAGAATTTTTTAATTGACTCACAAACATCTAAAATGAATCAGTTTTAATAAGATTGCAAGATTAAGGAGCATGTCCTATGCGTCCTGAAAGCACATTCGCTGCACACCACAGCAAGGGAATACCTTTTTTCAATATTTGGAGAAATTCTGAAAAGATATTAATAGCAAAATATAAAAAAAAAAAACTTTTACTTAAAAAAAAATTACTATAGGTGAGTATGATCACCTAGAAGTTTTTTTGAGTTTTTTCCCAGATAACAGAATGCAGGGAGGGGAAGGAGGAATTACTATGCTCACCTCAGTCGTATTAGCATCTAACCCAGAAGGAATAAAATTACAGGGCTCATCAAAGTAAATGCCTAAGCTGTTACTATGCGACACAAGCATGTGTTAAAATCAGACACCCTAAGAAGCCTTCAAGCAGGAAGCATGTTCACCTGTCAACACTCACACCTCATTTTTGTATTAGTAAAAAATGGAACTGTTACTTTCAGTTTAAAAGGCTAAGACCTCCTTTGAAACTCCCATGTTAACCACAGCTTCATTTCCAGAAAAGTCTCTTTTAGGCATATCCACACTTTGCAGTGCCCAGTCACCGGAGGCATTTTAGTCTATAACCAGTTCATCACACAACGCTTGGGTCAAGTTCACTGAGAGTCGCTTGTGTTCTTACCCTCAATATTCAGCTCAAAACAAATGTGGCAGAAGGAGAGTGTTTCTTCCTCTGTTCCCAGTTTACAAACACTGCAAATGTTGTCATCATCCAGATCAATGTTTACAAACTGCTCCTCTTCGTTCATAGTGCCCCTGTCAGGAAACAGAAAAGGAAACTCAGGCAATCCGCACAACAGGCAATAACAGAGAACTTCTAAGAAACTCGGGTGTTGTTCTGTCTCCCTAAAGCAATAGCCCCCGAAACACAAGCATCGCCACACTTGCACTTCAACATCTTACTGTGCAGACCAGCAAACTTTAAAGCCCGGCTGGACCTGTTGTGCCCACGTGTCTTTTCTATTTTGTGTGTTTCGTTTGGCTTTGAGGATCGGACAGAAAGCTGTCTGCACGTATTATTCCTCCGCTTCCTCCCCCTGACACAGAAAGAAGCTTAGCAAGAGAGGCCTTTGTAGCTGTCGCGCGGGGTCCACCGAGTAAGCGCTGTCAGAAGTGGGGCAAAGCACCCGCCAGGGCCACTGCCGGGCTAACTTGCTCTTGGAACCTCAGGCGCGTCCCCCGCCTCGACTCGGCGAGGCTTCCTGGAGGAGGAGAGCGCACGTGGACACGCCAGCATCCCGGGAGGGCAGCCGACCGCGTCCCTCGCTGCGGGACGGTGCGCGTCGCGAGGTCCCGGAGCCTGTCGGGCGGGCGCGCCGCATCCCCCTCGCCCCTCAGGGTCCTCCCACGCCGGGAGCCGCCGCGTCCTGCCCCGGCGTCCGGCAGGCCGGCTCCTCGCCCGGTCCCCGGCGTTGGGAGCGCGCGCCTGCCTCACACCCGCGTCCTTCTGGGCGCTCAGGCACGCGATGGCCGCGAGGGGCAGCCCGGCTCGGAACTCAAAAGGCGGCGGCGGAGGAGCAGGGCCGGCGGCCGGGTGGGGTGGGGCGGGAGAGGAGCCAGGGGTCTTTACCGTCCGGCCCCGCGCCGGCCGCCGCAGCGCTTCCCTAGCGGTTCGGGATCCTCCACTATTGTTTCCGGCCGGAGCGGAGGCCGCCGCCGCGCGCCCGGCCCCGCCCTCTGCCGCCGGCGCCATCGCGCCCAGACGGCGGGGAGGACGGCGCGTCCGAGCGCACCGCCGCGGCTCGCGGGCGGGCTGGCGTCCGCTCCCGGCCGCTCCGGGATGCCCGGCGACCCTTACTTCGGAGTTCCGCTGCAGCTCCCCTCGCTGTGCCCGGCTTTGTTACCCTTCTGCGGAGCGCGCGTCCTCACCGCCCCCTCCTCCCGGCGCCCGCGTGGACGAGCCCGTTACCGCCTCCCCCTCCGGCGTAGTGGAAACTCCCGCCCCGGGAGCGGGCAGCCCGGCAGCCGGTGCCGGAAAGTGCCCGGTAGGTGCCAGAGAAGGGACTGCCAGCGTAGGGACGGGTTTGAAATCTCTCAGGAACTTTTTCAGGTGGCTCCCGGTTGACATGTATGACGAGGGAAAAGTTCATGGTCTAGGTGTCTTGATTTAGGCGTGGTGTAAAATACAGAAGCTGCTTTTTGAAACCGATTTTTTTTTTCTTTTTAAGGGTAGTGTGCTCTCGTCCCATGTATGGTACGGTCCTTGCACGCCCCAGAGGGGTAATGCTGCATTCACACCTCTCAGTTTTAGGCCCCACTCTTAAACTTTCTGCCTGACTCTTTAAGTCAGTCAGAGTCAGTCTCTCTGTCTCTCTCTCTCTCCACACCCCCCCTCCCCATCTCTGTCTTTCCCCTGACTTTTTAAGTCATTCTGTATCATCTGTCTGTATCTCGGTTTCACTTTCACTTGGGTTTTTCTATTGTCATACAACACTAGGGAGGAGAAAGGGGAACTGTTCCGTGGTTATGTAACCCAACACCGACTACCCCAAGTTCTACCTCAGCTGTTTACAGACTGATCTTCCACTCCAGGCTCAGAGCCAAAGAGCGCTGTGATTTTCCACATCACCTAAAGCACCTGTTCCTGTTACAGTCACAGACACTAAAGCTGTTAGACTGTCCGTCTACATGACAGTAGTTTTGAACTGATGGTGGCAGTAGCAGATTCTGTATCCTGGAGATGCTGAATCCAGATGGCACCAGGTGTAAGACATGGATGTGTCATGGATTACTGCTCTTTGTACTGGAAGAGTGTAGTGTGTGGGCAGCAACCATGACATCAGCTGACACCTTCCTAGAATTGTACAACGCCAGGTTCCTCTGAAGATTGCCTAATTCCGAACCTGCAGTTAACAAGTGATTCCACCCCAGCTGTAGGTACCTCCCTCAGTTGCTTGTTACCTAGGCAGGTGAAACACTAGTGGGAAAGAAACAGCTCACGACTGGCGTGCATCCTGGGCCAGGTTAATGCCACATTTGTGTTAAGTTTACCAATGTGCCGGTGTAATCACGTATTCTAATTTTTGTTTTTCTAAAGATATGTAGGGGGCAGATGCCATCAGACAGGGTCTGGGGACCCACGTGAGTGTTCATGTTCGTGGGTGGTTCTTGGGTAGGCAGGAATGACCCCAGGCTGGTATGGCACCACCAGACCACCAGGCATGGGGGCTATGGATTGCTCAGGAAAGCCGGTCTGGAAATGTGTGGGAGGGAATACTGATGAGAGAATGTGACAGGTGAGGAGTAACTTTGATGGGACTTCCACCCAACCAGCTACTGTATCTGCAGGTAAATGAGGGGCCTGAGACTGCGTGGTTTAGAGGAGGAAAAGCAGGGGAACTTTGGGGGCCAAACAATAAACCTGCCCATGTGGGAGCCCTGAGCTGGGTTTGTTGGTATCAGTCATTGCCTGCTGGCATACAGAAAAGCTGTAGCCAAGGAACCTGCTTGGCACAGCTCAACCACAGTACCTGGCACTGAGTTTTGGGGAGAAGGTAGACCATGTTAGGCTGGGTGATGACACTAACCAGCCCATGAGGGAACTGGGTCTAGGAGCACATTCTGTGGAGGATCATGGGCTCACCACAGTGGGACTACCATACCAGCTGGTTTACGCCAGGACTGGGGTAGTGACAGGATGAGCTAGGCATGACCTTGGAACTTAACAGCGCTCATGGGTACTGGGATCCTGAAGATGCCAGGCTGGTGCAGGCTGTAGCATCTGCAGGCACACCTAAGAATTAGGTGTGGGGCAGATTGGGCCCACAACATCCCCCTAGAAAGTACAAAGGCCAACACTGGAGGGCAGACTGCCAGGTAATTGTGTAGCATCCACTGGAACATGTGAGATCTGGGTCAGGGAGTGAGGTTGGTGGGGGGAGTTGAAGAATTCCCCTGGTAGGCTATTGCTCCTGCAAGTGAGCATGTGAGTCAGGGCTGGGTGTTGGGCAGGCTGGGTAGGGCTACTTCAATTATTAGCAGGTGTGTGGGTTGGCTCTGTAGGAGGTGGACTGGGCAGGGCCAAGCCAAACCATAGCACACTGGCACGTGTGGGAGCCAGGATGGGATGTGGGCCATGCCAAGCTAGGCTAGGTTATCAAACCTACCAGCTTGCATGAATGCCAGGGATGGGAGCAGGCTGGGCCGGGCCAGGCTGTAGCACCCATAAGCATGAGTTGAAGCTGAGGGCAGGCTAGACCAAGCCAGGCCTCTCCACCCACTGGTGAATGCCGAGGTAAGGTGAGCTGTGCCAGTCTGGGCTGCAGTTCCCATCAGCACACATAAGACCTGGGAAGGAAGGTAGCAAGTACTGCGGGGGTCCCCCTCCTGAGCTGCTGCTTCTGCTGGTTAGTATGAGAGCTGGGACTGGGGCCAGACCAGGTCAGGCCTGTCTATAACACCCGTTGGCCTGCATGTGAGTTGGGTTAGGTGGGGAAAGCCAGGCTGAGTTAAACAACCATATCCACTGGTGCATGCGTGAGCCAGAGTAAATGCAGGCTGGTTGGGCTTTGCAAGTCTTTTCAAGCCAGACTGTAGAACCACCTGGAAATGGCAAGATCCGGGACTTGGAGTGGACCCAGTAGGGCTGTGAGCCCCTGTATGATGAGCTGCAACTCATGAACCAGGGCTGGGATGGGCCTGTTAGATAGGTGGTTGCACCTGCTGGCATGACAATGGGCTTAGTAGTGGGCTCAGTTGGGTTGATCTGGGCTACAGCACCAACTGATGTACAGAAAAGCTGAATAGGATGTGGGACAGACCAGACCAGTCTGCTGTACATGCTGGCATGCACAAGAACTAAGGATAGGGACAGGCCTGTTTGGGGAAAATTGGGGTTCTCCCCTGCTAGACTGCTCTTCCACTGTTGTATGTGAAGGCAGGGTTTGTTTTTGTATGAGATGGGGCTGGGGACAGAACTGACCAGTTGACTGCAACCACCAGTGTATATGTTGACTGATGTGAATGATGGGCTGAGCTGGACCCCACAATAGCTGGCATATGCAGGAATCAATTTTGGGGTCACTTCTGGCAAGGTTTCTTTGGGGAGCCCCAACTGGATCACTGGACTCAGAAGTGCAGTCAAGGTGAAAATCACAGGATATGTGGTCTGATAATGGAGTACACGTGTCAGAACTAGTTCTCCATGGTTGCTGAAGAGTAGTGGACAGCATGCCCAGGTGCTTGTAGGGGATGTGACAACCAGTTCATTGAAGCCTGCAGAGGACATCCAGTACCATGGAGGGCAGAACAAATTGGTCAGCACTCTTGGACAATATCTGGGTGAATCAAGACTCTAAGGTGAACCATGTTAGCCAGTGGATCTTGGATTAACAAAATCAACAGCATCTCAGAACCATCAAAACCTTGGGACATGCTCCATATTGGGGACCATGGGATGAAATTGGATGCCCCCTCCCATTCCTAGGTACTGATGTGGTTGGGTCGTTTGGAGTGGCCCTCCCCTCTTCATTCTCCACTTTCCCCAGATACCAGGAGGAAAAAGGAGACTGGAGGCAGTTGTCTGATCCACTTTCCCTCATTCCTCGATCCTTCTCACCTTAATTGGTGGTTCACATGGGCACGCGTGCATCTCAATTATGTAAACATCATAAAAAATAACATGAATTTATTATTTTCTTAAAAGCAAATGATTCCTATGCAGGTTCACATTTGAGGTGCACTAATGAAGGTATTGAGATTTCTTATTTTAAGAAAATATGATGAAAATGTGAAGCATTTTGGATTCCACCCATCTTTTAAATTAAAAAATACTTCCTAAAATAACAACCTGCTTATCTTATAATTTGTCACAATCATTTCTCTGCAGTTTATACAACTTGATAGCATTTCTTGAAACTTCTCGATTTTTTCAGTCACCATGGCAAGATGTAGTTCATAGGAAATTTTCTAAATTTAAAAACACAGGTAATGCGTTATAACAAAATTAAACACTTGTACAAGGACCAGTCCAATCAAGACACAGAATGTTTTCACAGGCTTCAATATTTTTTCTATGCACTTCCCAGAAAAGCTTCTGGTTTAGCTTATGTTACTAAAGATTAGTTTTATCTGTTCTAAAAATCACACATGCAGAGAAAGCTGATGTTCCTTTGTGATTGACAAACTTTGAGCCTGTTTTTGAGATTCATGTTGATGTTTAATAATAGCAGTTGCTTTGTTTTACTTAATAGTATTTTACAGTTCTCTCTCAAGGTTTTGGACTAGAGGCATTGCAAACACTCATGTACGAGTCTTTTCTGTGTCCTGATGTCTTTTCCTTCTGTAAATACGCAGAAGTGGGATTGTTGGATTGTTATTTGATTTTAAAGAAACTGCCAAACTGCCTTCGAAGGCGAGTTTCACTAGCTTGTTGTGGTTTGGATGTTTGTGCCCTTACAATTAAGACATCAAAACATTAATCCTTAATGTGGTGGCATCATTAAGTGATGTCCTCAGGTGATTTGGCCATGAAGGCCAAGAATAGTGCCCCTTTTTATAAAATAGGCTTGAGGAGGCTATTTTGTTCCTTCTGTCAGTTGGCAGCATGGTGCCACTAAGCAGCAGAGAGCCAGCCGTTGTGCAGACACTGAATCTGCTGATACTCCAAGTGTAGAGTTTCCATCTCCCAGAACTGCAAGCAGTAAATT